GGCACCAACAACCATGCCATGTTCAGTCACTTAAATCCCCTTTCTTCCCCATTCTGATGCTCAATTTGAACTTCAGCAAGTCGTATTCATCAGGTCTCCATGCCTAAATGCATTGAGTTGCTGCCATGTGATTAGCTGATTAGCAATTTGTGTTACAAAACAATTGAATAGGTGTACCTAATAAAGTGGCCAGTGAGTGTATATTGCTCTGAAGGTTTTATATGTAAACTGTGAAATTTGTTTTGACCCAGAGAAAATGTGTTTGTACTATTTGTCTAAAATTCATAAAAATGGAACTCTTTCGATACAATCAGCTTATATCCTTGTTAAAGGTAAATTTAAAAAGACCACTTGTCCATCCTCCTTAACCTGTTTTGACAGTTCCTATGGAACTAGGGACCCGGGGAAGGACCGCATTTCCATATTATATGATCTCTTATCGATGTCAGACAAAAAGCTCTCCTATATGGAATATTGAGAAAGAGATCTTAATGTCCAGTGGAACCTGACTGACTGGCAGGATGTTGTGAATAACTCGTCGACAATAGTAATAAACACAGTCCCAACCAGAATAGCTAAGATGAATATGCAGGCCTCCTCTCAGTGTTTTCAGAAATGTGGCCAAGTAGGCTCAATGATTCATATATGGTGGCACTGCCCCAAAGTGACACAGTTTTCGATTAGGACTTTAAACCTAATTTGTTCGGTCACAGGCCAAAATATCTCTAGTAAGTTCAAGAATGCCCTCTTTCAAAAATTAGGTGATGATATCCCTATAATGAAGAAAAGATTGATTTCTTATATGATCGTAGTCAGAATAGCCATTGCTCGGTGTTGGAGCCAACAGATTGTCAAACTTGACTATCTCAAAGAAAAATTTAAATTGGACCATGATCACTGATAAGTTAACATGCACCCTCCATAATAATCAAACTAAGTTTGATAAAACGTGGAAGCAATGGGTACAATATTTCTCGGTGGAGAACTGAGATGGGGGCAGGGATTCCGCAGCCACTTTCACTCTTCTCCCTTCTCTTCCCTTCTTCATTCTGCCTTCTTTTTTTTACAACATGCTCAGGTTTGGAGCTAACTGCTCCTTGGTTTTCTACCTTTTATAATGGTTCATTGTACGAGGTTGTGCAAGGTTGTTGACCATTACTTTATGTACTTTATTACACAAATTTTTATTTTTATTTTATATTTCTATATAAACAAGGCAGAGCTGTGTCCTGTAAGCGGCGATCTGCTCGATTTTTTTTCACTGCAAAGCAGGGAATAAAAACCTAGCAGATTGCTTAGCAAATAAACAGCGCACTGTGTACATAAAATACATAGCTAGGCACAGAGTTAACCCTTTGATGGCCCTAGTTGTTTAACCCCTTCCCAGCCAGTGTCATTAATACAGTGACCGTGTATTTGTGTCACTGGTTTCCACAAAGTGTCAGTTATTGTCAGACTGTCTGCCGCAATATCGCAGTCCCGCTGATCGCCACCATTATAGTTAAATAAAAAATTGCAGTATATATACCATAGTTTGTACCATTTTTTTTTTTTTTGCCAAAGAAACGTAGAAGAATACATTTTGTACAAAATTTATGAAGAATTTTTTTTGCTGGGGAGGTTTTGTTTTATAGCAGAATGTAATGTCTTGTAATGTAATGTCTTTTTTCATTCATATTGCAAAAAATAAAAAACCCAGTGGTGATCAAATACCACCGAAAGAAAGCTGTATTTGTGTGAAAAAATAATATAAATTTCCTTTATGTACAGCGTTGCAGAACCATGCAATTACCAGTCAAAGTAGCTCAGTGTTCATTACAAAAAAATGGCCTGGGCATAAAGGAGCTCAAGTGGTTGAAAACCATAAAAGCAAGCAATGCATACACATCACAATGTGATTATTGTCTAGAAATTTGAACTGCATCAAATCTATATGTACCATAAGACTGCTAATTTCATCTCCGGTGATTGTAATATTCAGCCTTCACAGTTTGTTGATGTAAAGCCAGCCATACATGGATTGAAATTTGTCCAAACGAAAAAACTGACTTGCCTATGGGCTGCTTAAGAATTCATGCAGCAAACAAACTTGAGCAGACACAACATTGGCAGCATAAATATTTACATATGGGGTACACCTAAAGTGAACCCCCAATGTTTTAAGCACTTTCAGAAGCTGATCTTATCACTAACTGAGTATGCAGCTTCTTTATCTTTTTATTTCTTGCTTGTGTTGTAGTTTAAGTTTGTGACATGACCACTGCCCCAAATTTTCCTGTTTCAGGCTAGCTCTTTTCTCTTACACTTCCCTATGGAGTCACCTTTGCATACAGGGACTAGAGTTGTGTCTCCCTACATTGTGTGCATCAAGGCAAACACACAGCCCTGTAGCCAAGGGTGGCATAGCACTCCCCTGCTCTTCCCTTCCTTGTCCAAGGTAACAGACTGGCTAGGGATTGCACTACTCACAGTTAACTCTTTCCTGTGAAGACCAGAAGTTCAGGGAAGCAGCACTGAGATAGCAGGAGCCAGCAGCTTTGAAAGTTGTAAACTGCAAGTGCTGGGGTAGGAATTGAAGTAATAATTTAGTGGGGAATGTTTATTTTATTGTGCTTAATGTGTTAAACTAAAAACACTGAAGTTTTCATATTACTTTAAATCATCTGCAAAGCTCTAGAGCAGGGGTGTCCAACCTTTTGACTTTCCTGGGCCACACTGGAAGAGGTGGAATTGTCTTGGGCTGCACATAAAAAAACACTAACAATAAGGCCCAATTCACGCATTGCGTTTTTGAATTGTTGGCAGAATCCCAAAATGGCACTGCAATTGTGGTAAAACACACCACATATGTTTGGGTGCCATTCATTGTTAATGGCACCTCAAGCGAGCTGCAATTTTGCCTTGATTATTGCGCATCATAATCAAGCAGCAAAATGCATTGCGCAAAGCTGTTGCCCAAAAAAAGCACCTGCTCCTTTTTTGGCAACAAGCTTTGCATAATGCACTTTGGAATGATTGCAGTGTGATTTGGAATTGCAGACATAATCTCAGTGATTCTGCCATCAATTCAAAATTGTGCAGTGTGCATGGTGCCTACAGGTGGATTGTTAGATAGATCCAGAGGTGTACAATGCTTCCCTGCCCCTCAGGAACCGCTAGTTTGTGTCCATGCAAAGTAGCCACGGCCAGGGGCATATTTTTCCGTGAGGCAAACAGGGCGGCATGGCATTTGCCCACTTTTCATCCCACAGATGTGACACTTAGAACCACGGTCCATGGCGGCACTGGAGGAGAAGATGTAGAGAGGGTATATGGTGCCCTCATTTCCCGGGTGGATGATCATGGATCACAGATGCCGGTGCAAAGTTTGCGTAAATTTTCCTTCTGATTGACATGCCAACCCGCCCCTCTCTTATCTGCCTATGGCAGCCTGTACCTCCATCTGCAAGCTCCACCTCCTTTCCTGTGATTGGCCACTGGATCTGTAGCCCAGGGAAAGCACACAGGCAGAGAGGAGGAGCCGAGCGGCAGCATGAGGAGGCTGATCGGAGTTAGGGAGTGGCTGGAGGCGGTGAAGAGGAGGATAGCAGTGGGACAAGAAAGACAGCTGATCCATAAGGTAAGTGTCTGTGCCGTGCAGCTGGGATCTGGGCAGAGCAGATGGTGCTGCTACAGCCAGGTATGCTGGCTGTGGATGGGAGAGGGAGTGAGCCCGGGCTGGAGGAGGGGTCCGTAATGTAAGCATCATTGGTGTCAGTGGGAGTAATAGTGCCCCATCAATAGTGTCAGTGTGGGAAGAACAGTGCCCCATATTTGGTGTCACTGACACAAATGATGGGGCACTATTCCTCCCACTGACACCAATAATGGGACACTATTCATCCCACTGACACCAATAATGGGACACTATTCCTCCCACTGATACCAATGATGGGACACTATTCCTCCCATTGACACCAGTGATTGGGCACTATTCCTCCCACTGACACCAGTGATGGGGCACTATTCCTCCCACTGACACCAGTGATGGGGCACTATTCCTCCCACTGACACCAGTGATGGGGCAATATTCCTCCCACTGACACCAGTGATGGGGCACTATTCCTCCCACTGACACCAGTGATGGGGCACTATTCCTCCCACTGACACCAGTGATGGGGCACTATTCCTCCCACTGACACCAGTGATGGGGCACTATTCCTCCCACTGACACCAGTGATGGGGCACTGTTCCTCTAAATGACACCGATAATGGAATAAAAAAGAGGTGGAGCTCTAATAGGAAGAGGTGGAGCCTAAAGAGGAAGGGTGGAGTTTACAGATGAAGGGGTGGATCTTAAACAAATTCAGATGCAAGGGGGTGCCTGATTTTAGCTTTGCCTAGGGTAGTACAAAACCAAAATACACCACTGGTCAGGGCCCAAGGCCCAGCGCTGTCCTTTTCCTACCTATAGAGTTTCTTCAGAGTCCTGGGAATATTTTTAGTTAAAATGACTGAAAGCAACATAATTTCAGAGGATATAAAGCTGGCCATATACACAGCAATTTCTAGACCAATTTGACCACTTGCAAAGAAAGAGCAAACAGTTCAAAGCAATCCGCCTCCAACAGCGTCAATCAATTCACAGTTTTAGTATAAACTCTTGGGGATCTTATTAATTCAATTGGTTGGTTTGTGCAATCAAAGGAAATTGCTGGAAAATTGCCTAAGTGTATAGCTAGTGTTTAGATGTATGGAGTATATTTTCTTAAAGCAGACCACGAAGATAACTACAAACGTTTTTGCACATCTGGTTATGACTGATTTACAGAGGGGAGAAAGGACAACCAATGAGGTTTGGGTTGCTAATTTTATGAACCACTCCAGAAAATAGAAGTAAACAGCTGATTGGTTGATATTGGCTATGATTTCCTTGAATTGGCCCCAGTGAGTTGTATTGTGTGATCTATATGTGGCACATTTGTAGCCGTATCATGAATGAATCCCTGCTTATATTTTCTAGACTAAAGTCTCTCTGGCGAGATTGGAAAATTTCCTTTGTGGTGAAGAACTTGTCCCAGAAAATATTGAGACAGAATATAAAGGAAGTAAGTAAATGTTTTCATGTTGCAAATATTTTAATGTGAAGCAGAACAGCTTAAAGGATAAGTACAATTTAAGACGGTGTATTTATCCTGTTTGCCCTCTTCCCTTAACCTGACCCAACCCACCCTCCACCTTCACAGATGCACACTTACATTTTTCCAAGGGCTCTGGCCTCCGGTGTTTTTTTTACACGCAGTGGAGCAAGTCTCACGGTCCTGGTCGCACCTACACATTACAACCCCATCAACTTTGTCTCCAGCCTTGGGACACAGCACCATAGAAGTCTAAGCAGGCCCGGCCTAGACAGCGAGACTTGCAGCACTGGATGTAATCAAACAGCAGAGGTTGCAGTAGTCATCTGTGGATTGGGGGTGGGTTAGGTCAGAGTAAGGTGGCAGAAAGGAAAAGTTTACTATTTTTTTAAAACTGCATTTATCATTTAACTTCTTCCCATCCCCTCCCGGAGGTCCTTTTAAGTGGGTCTTAACCATGGGAGGTGGGATGGACTTCCAAATCATGTGATCACTGAGATTGGCCTTCCCAGTGGCCTTCCCAGTGGTCGCATGATCAGGAGCCCGTCCCACCAGTTTCCGATCAGAGAACGGGAGCTGTCTGAAACCTCATCCCACATGGACGCATATGTGCAGCAATAAGACCCACCATCCTTGTTGCTGCATATGAATTACATAGTCATCAAGAGGTTAAAGTGTACCTAAAGCCAAAACTTTTTTGCAGCTTTGGATAGAGTGGTGAGAAGTGGTTAGAACTTTAGCTTTAGGTTTGGCATTAAAAACACTTTATTGTAAGTATTAAAGCTAAACTCCAGGCAGATATGTATTTAAAAGTAAAGGGGATACACTATTCTTTCACCGGTATTTTTTTACTCGTAAAAATGCTCTTGATACCCAAAACTGATACTTTGCGGTGCGATTTGCGTCCATATAAAATTAATTGGTGCAAATCACACTGCCAAGAATGGCATGCGATATGAACAGGAATGCGGTGCCATTCCTGTCCAAATCGCATGCAGTTTCCCCACTGCTGCTGTGTGAACCCAGGCTTGTATAGTCTGAGTTCACACAGGAGCAGTGTGGGAACAGTGTGGGAAACCTTTCTGCTCCAGTCTCATGCTGTTACACAACCAAAAGCCGTTTCATAGGTCTGGGGATTTGAAATCCCCATAGCTTTCTCTCCTTGTAGGAATAACCGTACGGGCTAGATGGCTTCTGATTGGTCAGCTGCTTTTAGTTGTGTGACTTCATGGGATCGGTGCAGGTAGGTTTCCTGCACTACTCCTGTGTGAACTCAGGCTATGAGAAGCTTGGGTTTACAAAGGAGTGGTGGGAAAACCACATATGATTCGGACAGGAATGCACCGCATTCCTGTTCAAGTCGCATGCCATTCTTTGCAGTGCAATTTGCCTCATTCATTTTGTATGGACACAAATCACATTGCAAAGTATCGGTACTCGGTATTGGCGATTACTTGACCAAAAGCATCAGTACTCGTACTTGATGATTTAAAGAAAAAAAAAGGTATCGATGCATCCCTAGTTTTTGTTTTTAAAGCAGAATTCCGCTCACGCTGTAAAAAAATAAGTCAGCAGCTACAAAAACTGTAGCTGCTGATTTTTAAAAAACAGCCACTTACCTGTCCCACAATCCCGTGGTGTCCTCCCCGCAGCCCGTTTCACCAGCTGTCTGGTGTTCCAGGCGCATCTTCAGTGTGGGCACCCGGCTGTGACAGCTTGCGGGTTTACAGCTGAGTGCCTACTGCGCATGCGCGAGTAGCGCTGCGCCTCCTGAATGGCTCTTTAGTCTTCTGGGACCTATCACGTGTCCCATAAGGCTACGGGGAGGGAGGGTGTGAGGACAGCTTCCGATCGCCTAGGCGATCGCAGCAGAAGTGGGAGCGGGTGCCTGTCAATTTTGGGTACCCGCTCCCCAAAGGTGCCAATCCTTAATGGGGAACGGGGAACCAATCTTTAAAGTGGAACTTCCTCTTTTGGGTGGAGCTCCACTTTAAGATATGCTTGTAAACATCTTCAGCTTGATGTAAATAATAGTAGCAGTCTTTAAAAAACTTGCTTTTTGGTTTCAATGATATATGTACATGCCTAGGCTTGGAGCTGGTGGACAAGGTTGTTTTATTCAAATAAATGATGTGATTTGGTGATATTGGCATAAACTCTAATGATTTATGAGAAGTGAGAATTTTGCATATGTTCTTTTTCAGTCTCGTTAAAATAAAGTATGTTATTTCCATCTTTGATAAATACAGATCATGCGGTTGGATTTAGTGCTGCTTCCTTCCAGTGGGAAACTAATGGTCCCTCCATCTTGAAAGAGTAAGAAAATTGTTGTCATACATTGTGACAGATTGTTGAAGGAAAATTCTTCCTTTCCCAAAAAGTGGATATATTTTATAATTGTTACTCAAACCTTTTTGTCAATTACTGTAATTCAAAATTACCTTTGTATTTTAGTGATTGCCAGCCATGATTTTTTAAAAATGACAACAAATTCACTTGCTGTTTATGACAGCTATAAACATATATGCAGTCGTGGGTGGGCCTTAATGCCCATCTTCCTCATCTATGCGTTTATGTCATGTATTGGGGCATGCTCCATCAGCGGTTCCGGAACTGTGACTGAGCAGGGCTTCACTGCTATCTGGGATCTTGGTGGGCAGAACTCCCCCCAGTACAGCGGTGACTGGCAGAGAGCTTGGCTTATTAGTTTAAGCATATATCAAGGCAAAGTAAACATACAACATTTTCTTGGACTAAAGCAGGCCATACATGATTCATTTTCTTCCATTCGACTAGTTGTTTGGACAAAAGAAAATGAACCAATTCCTCCATCCACACATTCAAGATAGATGGGGGAATCCCTCCCGTGGAACTATTTTGTTCTGACAGCAGGCAGACTTCCCTGCTGTCAGAATACACTCATCAGCACTGCCGGCTATAGCCGGTGACACTGATTGAGTGAACATTTTCCAACAAGCTGGTTGTACAGAAGTCGTTGGAAAGATTGACTTCTGTGAAACCTTTCTGCCTATAGATGGATCAAAATTTGTCCGGTCGCTGCTGAACTGGACGAATTTTGTTCCATCTATAGCCAGCTTAAAGGATAAGTTCACCTTTCGTAACATTTTTACATCCTGAATATGGGTGTAACATGTTACAAACGGACCCGCTCCTGCATCTCCCCTATCCACATTATGACAGCTAGCGGGGGATCTCTCCCTGCTGGCTGCCACAATTTAAAAAAAATGTAAAAGTGTCCTCTCATTCTCAGTATTCCGTGAATGAGAACACTACAAGTTCCGACAGCCTTTGCTGTGGAACACTGTGGTAGTTCATTGAATCTTCTTGTCAGTAAGTATCTGTTTGCTTATATGATGTATAAACACACAGATACATTGACAGGTCTGCAGGGGACGTGCATGTGCAATGCTTTAGAGGCTCCAGAAACAAAATATAATAAATGCACATTTTTGTACCTGCAAAAAATATATGCATTTATTATTTTTATGTTAAAAGGTGAACTCATCCTTTGATTCAGCCCTGCCTATTGTCTTATGATAAACTACTTACCCACCCCCCTGTTTTCTTGTCCACATCAAAGGCATTCATTGACCTGTAGTCCAAGATAAGAACAGGGATGGCTAAATAGTCTCTTTGAGAAAACAAAGGCAAGGAGCACAAGACTCCTCTACATTCTTGACAATATCAACAGGTATATTTTCACATTACAAAAAAAAAATTAACAATTCCTTTTTAATGTTATATTTAAACGACCAAAAGGGAGCAAATGTGAGAAGTTCATTGTTAGGGTCTCCATATACTTTAGGCTGTTTTCCTGCATATAGTCTTATAGGTAATTCATTGGGGGCAACAACGGCGACTAAAGGTAGGTTAGGCTAATATCTGAGCTATTATTCAATGATCCCTATACTCAGGAGGATCTACTAGCCAGGGTACCATACAACAATAAAGTTCTGGTGGTGAATCAATTATGGCAAAACTGAAGTACATTTGGAAGACAGAAGATGACTATAATGACTTAGAGGGGGGATTTACTAAAATTTGAGCACTCAGAATCTGATGCATCTGTGCATGGTAGCCAATCAGCTTCTAACCTCAGTATGTTCAGTTAAGCTTTCACAGTAAAACCTGGAAGGTGATTGGTCTCTATGATTAGTTGCACCAGATTTTGCACGCTCCAGTTTTAGTAAATCAACCCCAGAGAGTTCCTGACTCCTGCAGGTCCCTTGTTTCTCTAAAGTCAGTAGCGTGACCCGACCTAAAAAATATAGAATCAAGCTGGCTAAAGTACCAACTGAGTCAAAGTGGAGAACTGTGCTCAAAAGTACAGTTTTGAACTATTTCCTCTAAATTGCACTAAATCCAGGATACAATGGCAGACACTGTATCTATTAACTCATAATAGTGAACGATGCCAAGTCCAGGGTATAACTGCATGTATAGTACTTACTGAGTCCTAATGGTGATTCTTATACATTGTACCCTTTATTTGTTTGTCTAGTCTCCACATAAAGATCCCAGAAGGCACGTTGGTTGCTGTTGTTGGCCAAGTTGGATCCGGGAAGTCATCCCTGCTCTCTGCAATTCTTGGAGAGATGAACAAATTGGAGGGGACTATTCAGAGAAAAGTAAGACTATTAATACAACACTTCTGTGGTTTGGAAAGCTGGGTGGACAGGCAGGGTGGTAGTGTTAGGCACTTCACCTCATCCAATCAGAGAAAGCTTTGCATTCATTCAGAAGATGCAAAGCAGAGCTTTTTCTGAACGGTGCCCGTGCTAAACAGCCTACCTTCTTTGTTCACAATGCATCAGGACGGCCCCTCAGCACGTGGCCCAAAAGCTAGTGGAGATCATTGGAGTAGTAGTGTCTACGTCAGTGATTTCCAGCTTCTAGGGGCATCAGCGACGTATGGTATGTACATAGTTACAATGGTCCAAGCTGCAAGCTTGTATGCTCCAAGGAGCAGGGCCCTCCTAACCCTCTTGTATTGAACTGTATCATTGCTGTATTGTCTCCCTTTATAATGTAAAGTGCTGAGCACACTGTTGGCGCCATGTAAATCCTATATAATTATAATGTAAAAATTAACCATACCTGGAATCCTTCTTTAAGGTGTACATATTGCAGCCAGTTCTGTTATGGGGAAAGTTGGACACCTGACATATAAACTTAGTGGTGATGTTGCAGTTGAATATCTCTTTTGGTTTCTCCACAAACAGGGCTCTGTGGCCTATGTATCACAGCAAGCATGGATACAGAATGCTTTGTTTCGGGAGAACATTCTCTTTGGACAGGCCTTCAATAAATCGTATTATGAGAGAGTCTTAGAAACCTGTGCCCTTGTTCCTGATCTGGAGCTCTTACCACATGGAGACCAAACCGAAATTGGAGAGAGGGTGAGACTATACTCATTACAATACAAGTGTATTACCTTTAAATACTATCCAAATCAGATGGCAATTGAACATACAGGTGTAATCTGGCTGCTGACAAAGTTCATTCCATACATGTACATCTACTTCTAATCTAACCCTGGAGGAAAAACAGCAGTTTGTAAAAAAAAGAATCCCCAATGACCAAAGACTTGTTCCACCATCAGCAGAAGAATTCTGCCATTGTCAGGGGAGTCAGTGTCTGCTGGTGTCATTGGGGAATGACTGCTGCTCTTGCCTTATATTCTCTGCACGCTGTGAGCTGCTCACACTGTGCATTAGAAGTTGCAGCAAGTCTGCAAAAATGCCCTTTCTTTGTCTATAGGCTCAGCATCACATCTGGGCAGGGCAGTCTGCATGCAAAATAAAGCTTGCCTAGGAATGCTCATTCCTCCAGATTGACATCTATCCATCAAGTCATTTTGGTATTTGCATAACTTCTCCCAAGAGCCAGCCAACTGTTTGCTCTAGGGCTGAGGACTCTAGAAAGGAGTGCTGGGTGCTGTGATAATTTAAGGAGGCTATGTATAGCACCCCAGCAGGTTCCTCTTGCCAGCTGTGATCTGCCTGCATTGCATACAGAAGTGCAGAGACCCAGTGATGTCATCACTGGGTCTAAAACAAGGTATATTATGAAAGTGGTAGTGTTTTATTTAAACATTCAATTAGCTTGGTGATGAGTGGAAAGGATGAACCAGAGAAGACAAAAAATAAGGATAATAAACTTCAATTTTAAGAGAATGAATATTATGTATGATCATGGACAATGCAGTAACTATTTATCTTTTGTATGTATGCAGGGTGTAAACCTAAGTGGCGGTCAGAAGCAGCGAGTCAGTCTGGCGAGAGCTGTGTACAGCAATGCAGACATCTATCTGTTAGATGACCCCTTGTCTGCTGTTGATGTTCATGTTGGGAAGCATCTGTTTGATAAAGTAATTGGACAGAATGGGCTGTTGAAAAATAAGGTAGGTTATAGAATAAAATTTGGTTCATTAAATTATAAGTGCTGTTTCAGTGCTGAGCTGTGGATGCAGATTTGAAAAACAAATTTGGTCCATTTTGATAAATTTACAAACTGGGTGCAGAAGTGCCCTATACCACTTCTGGTGCAGAATAATTTAAAGGAAATCTACTAGAAAAAAATGGGGACTTCCACTGCTGACCTCCTAAGAATACCAATTGCCTGCCCCTGGACAACTCTACTGATCAGTAAAGTCAACGTGCAGCCAAACCTCCAGAACTGCAGACTTCTTTCAGGACCAAAGAGATTCGATCAGAATGGCAGACAGGCAGCTAACCTTTGAGATAGAAAAATCAGCAATGGCAGCCTATTCTCTCAGCGCAACCAGTTTCCTGTAGCACAAGAGTGCTCTACCTTTTGTAGGGCCACTTAAGTGACTTGGTAACTGGTCGCAGGCCACAATAAAATGAAATGGTTCAGAATTTTAACTTTTTTCTTTTCAATAGCATAATGAACATTTTCCTTCTACAGCCACTGAATGCGGAATGGGAGGGAGAGGAGAAGAAGCTGGCTTTCAGCGGTTGCAGCAGGAAAATGGAGCTGATTGGTTCTTGTATATGCCGCCCCTCCTGTTTATGTTTAAAATAGAATGTGTCAAGTAGGCCACATGGGCCCCCTGGAGCATGGGGCGGGGTCACCATTGTGACCGCTGACATTACTCCAGTGGTTGGGAGCGTGTGGTAAAAACACTTCTCAACTATGGGGTTTTACTGCCTCCCAAACTGCAAATCTAAACAAGCCCTTACTGTCTTGAGGCCCTATAAGTTTTCACACTGATGCTCTGCGCTGCGGTCGTTGCCTTAGACTTCTATTATATTTTGTGGGTGTGGTGTACTGTCTGAAAGTGCACCAAACCCACAGGATATTGTAGAAGTCTATGGCTCAGTGCAGCTAACCCACAGCAGAGCCACAGGTGCAGCTCTGGATCAGTGTGAAAGTAGCCTAATAGTTGTTAAAGCGGAGTTCCACTCACTCTGGAAAAAGATAAAAGTCAGCAGCTACAAAAACTGTAGCTGCTGACTTTTAAAAAAACAGCCACTCACCTGTCCCACAATCCCGCTTCGCCCCCGCCGCAGACTGTTTCACCGGCTGTCCTGTATTCCAGGAGGCCGGCATCTTCAGTGTGGGCACTCGGCTGTGACAGCTTGCGGCTTTACAGCCGGGTGCCCACTGCGCATGTGCGAGTAGCGCTGCGCTTCCTGAATGGCCCTGTCCTCTTCTGGGACCTGTCACATGTCGACGTTGGGGAGGGAGGGTAGGAGGACAACTTCCGTTTCCAATTGCCTAAACGATCGCAGTGTAAGTGGGTGCAGGTACCTGTCAAATTCGGGCACCCGTTCCCCCCCCGCTCCCCATAGGTGCCAATCCTTAATGGGGGGCGGGGGACCAAACCTTAAAGTGGAACTTCCCCTTTTGGGTGGAACTCATCTTTAACTCTTTTATAGGTACGAATATGCCCTTTGCAAAAGTTCAGTGTATGTTTAATAAACTGACCTTTGTTTCCTCTTCCAGTTTCTGCTTGAATCGCTGTCCATCTCCAGGCTGCGAGAGAGGTCCCAGGCAAAGTGCACTTGGTATTGCTCTGCCTGGGACAGGAGCCAGTGCTACAAAGGAAGCATGAGCTTGTGCGGCTCCAGCTCTCTCTGCTGCCACCTGCTTCCTCCGCTGCCAGCATTGGCTCAATGCACTCTGATGCTCGGGGATGGCAAGTTGGCACACCCAGATCTCAATCAACGGGTTGCCGACCACAGGCATGCGCTTCCCTGGTTTCAGGTCAAGAGCCACATCACATGTGGCCCACGTGACACAGGTTGAGCACCCCTGCTTCAGTGTGTACGAACACCTCTCATCACTTGGAATATCCCAATGCTGGCTATAAGGTTGACCATTTTCCAGTAGATTCAACCACTTTTCCGTTGTAAACACAATTGAACAAATCTCATCATTATTATGTTCTACAGGATTTATACCGTATAGTGCCAACAGTTTGTTACAGACAGTACAGTTACAATACAATTCAATACAAAGGAATCCGAAGGCCCTGCTTGTTACAGCTTACAACCTAAACTCTCATCAACTGTTTATATCTTTAAATGTATATGACAGGGATGTTGGGGGGGGGGGTGTTATGTTGAATCATTTATAGATCAAAGGCTGATGGAATGTGGATGCAATTGCTAGAATACTGCCCACATGGCCCACATAAAGGGTTGATTTACTAAAGGGAAATAGACTGTGCACTTTGCATGGTGCAGTTGCACTTTGCAAGAGCAGTTGCTCCAGAGCTGAGTAAATGAGCAGAAGCTCTGCTGACTTTCATCATCCAATCATGTGCAAGTAAAAATGCTGTTTTTTAATTTTCCTTGTATGTGATTGGGTATTCTTTGCAAAGTGAATCTTTACCTCATTTACTAAGCTGCGGAGCAGCTGCACTTGCAGACTGCAACTGCATTTTGCAAAGTGCACAGTCTATTTGCCTTTAGTAAATCAACCCCTAAGTGCTTAAAATACAACACAATATATGGACAGGACACAAACTTTATCAGGGTATCAGCCATGAGATGCATGTTAGCTTCTCACCCATTGCACAGAATAAAGATAAAAGTGTCAGTCTGCCATTTCTATCAGCTTCTTTCTTAATACACAAACTTTTCTTCTGTTCAATTAGAGTTCTAGGTCTCTCCTAAGTTTAGGAGTATTACTCCTTACTCAGTGGATCCGGGGCAGCTGCTTTTTCCACCTTTTATTAAAAGGCAGCAGGGGAAGTGATTCTGCCCTTCAAATGTATATTCTATCTATACAGTATGTATAAAATGATGTCATTATTTATTTGTTGTAGTTTTCCTTTATATTAAAAGTTAACTGGAAACTGATGTTTTTGTGTAGACAAGGATCCTGGTGACACACAGTCTCATCGTTCTTCCTCTAGTAGACCTCATTATTGTGATGGAAGATGGCAGAATAACTCAGGCTGGCAATTATACAGACCTGACCTCAAAGCGGCAGGACTTTGCAGACTTGATCCAAACTTCTGGGGCAAAGGAGAATCTAAATGAAAAGCCTTGTAAGTACATATAAATACTGTGTATATACCAGGGACGGACTGACCATTTGGAAACTCAGGCACTGCCCGGGGTCAGTAGGGGGCCCCATGAGATGCCCCTGGTACTTTTTTCATAGGCTTTATTGAGTTTGGGCAACGACACAGGGGCCCCATGATCCCCTATTGCCCGGGGGCCCCATGAGTTGTCAGTCCGCCCCTGGTATATACTGTATAAACACTATATGCCAGGCATCCAACTATGCAATTATGACCGGTTTGAACGATAATGGGGGCTTTCTGGAGGCCAAAAAATAAAGCAGATTTTCACAGAACTTTTCTTCATTACTATCTCAAGGAACATAGGCTGTAAAATTCCTGGCCAGTGTTCTGCTGTTGTAGGTGTGGCAAGTCTAAGGTTGGCTCAGTTGTAATCTAATGCTGGTTTAATGAGTAGAGATTATTCACTCAAAAAAAGTGTGAATATTTGTTTTAATTACTCAATCATGTGAAAAGCATATTCTTGTTCACTCTGAATACCGAATTATGTACAAATGCATCTCGCAAGATTGCATAATCAAATTAAATATTCAAATGATTTAACCGCTTTCCCGGTGTTCTATAGCTGATATACCGCTACAGGGTGGAAGGGGTACGTAAAATCACGTGTATATACGTGATTTTGCATTTCTGGGTAGGGGGCCTGCGCCCTACCCACGCCGCTATTCGCAGCCTCGGCTATCAATCTCTGGGTCCTTGCCAGTGATTACTCGCCAACACATGGTGATCACCGAGCATTACCAACTGGGGGGGGGGGGAGAACTGTATGTAAATAATACAGTTCTCTCCTGTCAGCTCCTGCACACTGTTTTGTATGGCTCTGTATAGCAGAGCCATACAAAGCAGTGTGCTTACAGTTTAAAGGACACACACAGCTTACAGTAAAACAGCACGCAGTTAACCCTTTGATCGCCCCACATGTTAACCCCTTCCTGCCCAGTGCCATTAGTACAGTGTAAGTGCTTTTCATTAGCACTGATCACTGTACTGGTGTCATTGGGGATGTCAGTGACACCAAGTCAGTTCCCCCCAGTGTCAGAATGCCCACTGCATTCCCTCCGTCTTGCTACAAGTCGCTGACCGCCGCCATTACTGGTTATAAAAAAGAAAAATCCCAGTGTATACATATCGCCCTTTATAAGTGCTATAACCTTAAATAAACCAATTAATTTACAGGTATTGGGATTTTCTGTTAGCAGAGACACGTAGCAGAATATGTTTTGGCCTAAATTTTATGATGAAATTTTATTTGTTTTCATTTTTTACTGGACATGTTTAATAGCAAAAAGTCAAAAATATTGTTTTTGTTTTCAAAATTGTCTGTCTTTTTTTGTTTATAGCAAAGGCGATCAAATACCACCAAAAGAAAGCTCTATTTGTGGGGAAAAAAAGACGTACATTTCATTTGGGTGCAGCGTTGCATGATCGCGCAATTGTCAGTTAAAGTAACGCAGTGCCATATCACAAAAAATGGCCTGGTCAGGAAGGGGGGTAAATGCTCTGGAGGGCAATTGGTTAAAGAATTATCACTTTTTATTTTTCATTATTGAATTTCTGATGGACCAAAGTATATGTAGTACTTTTCCTTATCTTATTGTATCTTATTAGGTGCCACCTACCTCTAGCTGTAATGTCAGACAGGGCACCCTCACTTGGCACATGGTGGCCCGACTCCGCAGCTAGCAAGGAGACATCTGCTTTGCTGGAGAGCACGTGTCTCTGGCTCCCAGTATTTGCTCCAGGCCTGGTTAGCACTCTTTCTGCATAGCATTGTGTTTGTGTGATTTCCTCCCACACTCCATTGACATGCTGGTAGGCTAATTGGTCTCTGTCTAAAACTGGATCTAGTATGATATTCTACTCTGAGTTCCAGGGAAAAAGTGCTACAGATATATAAATAATCACAATAAATAATCTTACCTGGTATCAGCCTCTTGCAGTCCCTGTACAGCAGAGTTCACAGTGTGAAAGGAAGAAGCAGCACACAAAAAGCCAATCAGTTCATGTACTGACAAGAAGCATGCTGAAAGGAGGACAGAGCAGAGTAACAGAGATGAGCTTGTTGCTGTGCTGCTTCTCTTTTCACGGTCCAGTCACAGGTAGAGGCGTGTCTAGTATGACCTGGGCTCATGGGAAGTGGGTTGAAAATTATGCTGGCCATCAGACTGAAGACGGTAAGCAGCAGAAAAAATACTGTGAGTTTAAAACATTATTTTACTTTTAATGGGCTATTTATTATTATTGTGATGTTTTTAGCTGGAGCTTTTTTTATTACAAAAATTACTTCTTTACTATTTTCTATTAGCAAGTCTCCTAAAAGAAGCCCAAACTCTGAAGACCGATCGGAGACGAGCCCGAGATAATCTGGCTCAAAAAGAGAGGTAAGACTTTTGGCTGGGAGACAATACAGTATATCTAGAAGATAAATAGATACACAATTAATAGGTAGCAAGACAGTTTGTCGTAAAGAATCGTTCAGGATATTAATATTGGAATAGAACATATTAAAGAATAGATTGCAAAGAATGTCAGTGGCCTATACGTCCCATGATTCTTTGCTCTGCTACAGCAGAGCAGAGGTGTGACTAGGATGATAATGTTTCTGCTGGTCTCTCCCCAGCTACTTACGACTATGGTGGACCAGCAGAATGGATGATGGAGGAACTTGTCATCTGGAAGTTCTTATTGGGAATTTGCTTTATGGGTGTCAGGTCTGCTCCCTGTAGTAGTATCCTGTGGTGTCACCCTAAGTTCAAGGGATAGGCTGCTTTTCGCAGGATCACTGGCTAATAATGCAGACATAAAAGCAGAACTCCAGGAAAAGGAAAATACTACCTTGCACTGGGTCTGCCCCTGCTTTGCAAGAGTTAAATACTTGTTTAGGCCTGGGGGCCATAAAAATGAGTTTTGCATACCTGATCCTCCTCTACTGCAGGCTCCTTCCAGGCTTTAAGACTGGCCTCCACAGCCTGTTCTCCTCTATGCTGTTGTAGTCACACATCCTCTGATGTCATCAAGTCCAATACAGAGGCTATAGCTCTGCATCGGACATAAGGATGCTGAGGGACAATCCACTGCTGGAATGTAGGGGAGTAGAGGGGAGCACTGACTGCCTGTGGAGTGGAGGATCAGGTAAGTAAAACTGTTTTTATTTTCTGTCCCCTGGATCTAAACGAGCACTTAATGATTGCAGTGCCAGGGCAGCCCCCCTGCATTGGGAGCATTTTTTGTTTACCTGGAGATGGGCTGTAAAGCATATCAAAACACACAAATATACCTTAGATGAAGTGGGTGCATTTGTTTTCTTTTTTCAGGCATCTTTTTTCACTTTATTTTCACTTGGAATCCTGCAAAAAACTATTTTCTGGGGTCCTTTCATGTCTACACTCATTTCTCCATTGTATCTATGGAACTAGCCATGCTGGCCACACAGACTGGATTTCAAACATGCCTGCCTTTGTGCATCTTCATTACATGGCAGATTGATGGGGCTAGTAGTTTACTCAAAAACGATAAGACTATTTGTGCTTTCTTTTAAGCTCACAGGAATTGACAAGCAAATGGCATTTCTGGCAAGATCAACAGCTATTTTCTGTACTTGCTGAAAATGTTCTTAGTCTGAAAAATGAAAACTAATGCAGCCACCAGATCTAAGGACTGGTAAGCTGCAATCTATTACAATTTTTGTTTTGGGGGGTTTAAATGGTGAATCAAGTGGTTGAATCAGGTTTTCTCATAAATTGGATAAAACATATCTAAAAGGTCCATGTTTTCTTCAGGTCAGTGATCGAGATGCCAAATGCTTCAAGAATGAATAAAGAAAAGGTTGCCACAGGAAGTGTAAGTGCTGAATTTTCAGAGGTTATGTTTCTACATTTCATATACTATATACACAGACCTCATATTCTCTATTGAGCCTCATCTGAGAGTAGAGGCTGTTAATCAGAGAATGCAGAAGGAAGTTATTGGAAAACTCCTATGAGTTTACATCATAGAGGTTATTTAATAAAACTGCATGGTGCAAAATCTGGTGCCAATTATCTTCCAGGTTTAATTTATTATCTTTTTTTTGCACTGCCTGGCACTGGGAAATCTGGTAATCTACAAATAATCAGCTATATGATGTTCTTTTAAACAATTAGTGAATACTCTGTAAAGCACAGCTGTTCGTACTCTGGTTCAGTAACTGTTTAATCATTCTTGAATTCTCTCTAAAGTTGGCCATACAGGGGGTGACTGATAAAAAAAAAACAGATTCCTTCATCCACACAAACGAGATGGATGGAGGAGTCCCCCCATCCCTGCTGGGACATTGTATTCTGACAATCTGACAGCAGCGCCCTCTGCTGTCAGAATACCCTGATCAGTGGCTGTGACTGATTTGCTGAAAAATCTTCCAACGGGTCTCTTTGAGGGAAGTCAATAAAGTGATCGACTTCTGTTGAGCAGAGATGGCCACACACTGATTGAAATTTGTCCATTCCCTGCTGAACTGGCTAAATTTCAATCTGTGTATGGCTAGCTTTACTGTTGGCTTTCAGTAGCGGTGCAATGAATAGTCAGGCTTCCTGCTGTATAGCAAGCCTAGCTGACAAGATTAGGGGAATTTAGTAAAGCACTACCAACAGTTCTCTGCCCCTGTGGCTCTTTAAAGTGGCCTCCACCAGACTGAAAAATCACCCTTTACCGACACGCGTGGCAGAGTTCGTAAGAGCACCTTTTTTACAAAGTGGCAATGTTAATGCAATAGACTTAAAAAAATATTTACCTCCAGTTCATAGATAACAAAACTGGGGGTAATTAAAGTGTTACTAAACCCACAACAGTAAAATCAGTCTGTATATGCAGTAAGGCATGCTTGTTAAACGGGTTAATCCTTTGCATTGTGTAAAAGGGCCGTTTGATCCTGAATTCTTTGCTCTTCCTCTTGTTCAAATGTCTTCCTCTTATCTCCTGATAAGACAGACTGAACCATAGCCATTCTGCACATGCTCAGTTTAGTGTGTATTGCTAGAGAGGTTTTTTTTTTTTCCCTTGGGAGACTGTAATAAGCACTGTCCAGACAGAGGTCAGGGGTTTTGCATCCTCCTAAGAGCAGAAAGAAAACTCCTACAAGCTGTGACCAGTGCTCTGCTGAAAACTGATAGAAGTCACAAGACTGCTCTAACTGCTGATAAGAAAAGGTATTTAGTAGTTTATATTTACTAAAATACAGGTGTACCTCAGTTTACTAATTTAATTTTTCATTCGTAAACCAAAAATTACATTACCCGAGGTATGCCTGTAATTGCATTTCCATGTTCTGTGTACTGTGGTAGACCAGATATAGTGAATGCAGGGTCCTGGGTTTAGTGACACTTTAAGGCCAACTCTAGCTTGACATATAGAGATAGGCAGAGTGCCTGTCCCAGTCCACAGTGTAGCAGATTGGCATATTTTCTGCTGCTTCTCTCCACCTGTCACTGGTTATTAAGGACACTGTTGGCTTCACAGCCAACAGCCTCCTAGCAACCAGTGATGCTCCAGGGAGCAGAGCCTGATGGGGAAGCTGAGACACTAGTTCCCCATCAGGTCCACTCTTTCCTTACATTGTCATCAGGCAGCGGGTATATTCCATAGCCAACAGCAGGCTGTCTATTGGATAAGATTCCACCCTGCCTGTTGTCAAGGGGAGAAGACCTGATGGGGAACTGTGAATCCCCATCAGGCTCCACCCCTGTCCTTCCCCCATCCTTTCCGGTACAAAACGTCCCTCTGCATACTGTCTGACATGTGCAATGGCGGGGAGGAAGTACAGTTGCACTCTGACCTCAGTGTGCCTTTATACTCAGTGTGTGCCCTGGATTCATGGATCTGTCTACAACTGGTACATGAGTCTTTTGCTCACACTGACATTTGCTGTGTGGAAGCAAATTGGAATTCTAAAGAGTGTCTTAGATACTCTTTTTATGAATTTGGGACTTTTACAGACTGCAGCAAAGGAGTACTGTGGGGACCTAAAACCTGAGAAGTTTCCATATTCTCCTAACACTTACAGATATGAGGCCCCATTTTTTTTTTTTTTTTACAGAAGGCTATGTAGGTTTTGTACAAGGGCTGTCATGCTTCCATTTTGATACAGATATATCTTTTCTTAGCTCTTCTATAACTAGTTTAGTTGTTAACAGATGTTTGGATTTCTAGATGAAAATGTCAGTGGTGATGAAATACCTTCATACTTTTGGATGGTTCTGGGTGACCTTCACAATAGTAGCCTATATAGGACAGAACGCTATGGCTATAGGACAAAACGTATGGCTGAGTAGATGGACAACAGAGGCCAAGCAAATAAAAGATACAGCAGAATGGGCTGACCTGAAGAACAATCGTCTGGGGATCTATGGACTTCTGGGATTTGTGCAAGGTGAAAACAACCTTTTATACCACTGACAAAGTATCATAGTAATATTGTCAAACTGTGTACAGTGTTTTGTTGGCTTTAAATTTACTTTTTTTTTATTAAAAGAAAATACATTTAAGTAAGTCATAATTATATTTGGTAACGCAGCCATGCACACTGGAATATTCATTACTGAGAAACGTGGTTTATGCCATTGTGTCACCTGGTCAGATCAGCAAAGCAACCTTTATACTGCACAGAAAGATAAGTACGATCATAAATATTGAAGAAATCAGTTGTGCAGAATACAGGTGGTCCTGTGCCAAATCACAGTTGAGTGAGTGTTAAAAAGCAATTCAGATGCTTCTGACATGATTATGGGCCAGGAAATCCATTTGGAAATGTGTTTTTCTACTTTCCTAGAAAAGCCCTTTAGGGTGATAGACTGTTTTAGGCAATAAAAAATGGAAATGTTTTTCTCTTCTGGCATTGTAATGTACCATAACCTTTTCCATTTTTTGTGATTGCTTTAGGCCTTTTTGTGTGCTATGGTGCCTATGTGATCACAAGAGGAACAATCTGCGCCTCTCGCTCACTGCACAACCAGATGTTGGACAATATCTTACACCTTCCACTCCAGTTTTTTTGAAACAACACCCATGGGTCAAGTACTGAACCGGTTTACTAAGGTAAGACCAGGGCAGAGTCATATGCCACCTAATGCATTTATTCTCATGTGATTCAGGTATGTGCACACCATGAAATACATATATGTCCTATAGGGAACACAATATATATTAAAGAAGATTATTATTATTATTATACAGCATTTATATAGCGCCAACAGTTTTCGCAGCGCTTTACAAAATGAAGGTAGACATTACAGTTACAATACAATTTGGTACAGGAGGAAACAGAGGGTCCTGCTCGGTAGAGCTCACAATCTAGGAGATAAGATCTCTTATTAGAAATGTTATTTCACAGTTCTGTTCCCTATGAGATAGAGTACATTGTCCAATGTTTCTAAATGCTTTCTAACCCAGTTATGAGGTCTGATATTCCCCCCAACCCTACTGCTGCAGCCTCTCTGAGAACAGCTATGAAGAAGAAGGTTGATTCATAGCTGCAGTTCTTCTTGACTGTAAACACTTTCCACAGGCAAGCAATGGCAAGAGAAATGCAGAGGGAGGGGGAGTCATGCAGTCATGAACCTTTGCCTTGTAGGGGACAGAAGTGTATAATAGACATTCTAATGTATTGGTGGAGTTGTCAGAACCTGAACAGGTTCATGGCTACCCGGCTGCAATCGACAAATGCATATTTGTATTAGTCAGTGTGTACATATGGATGCTGTGCAACTGAAGAACTATATCAAAAAAGCCAACAAGGTGATTTTAATAAATTTTATAAAAAGACTTACCAATAAAAAGAGAAGTGCTTCTGTATTGGGAATCTAGGCCCACTGGTCATACTCTGTAGATCTTTATGGGGAGCCTTGACTCTCATAGGTTGCTTTGTACAGATGCAGCATTGAATTATTGAATCTATGGAGCTTCCTGTAACAAAGACCAGTCACTGCAGCAATCTCTCCTTGTGCAGGATGACTGGTCTTGTATCCGTGTCCCCCTGTAATTTTCTGGCAGTCATGGGGATGTCTGGAAAGCAAGTGTAGGTGCTTAGACTTGTATCTGTGTATGATGGTTTTGCAAGCATAATAAAGTAGGCCTAGGAAATCTTTGGAAAAAGAGAATAGAAAGTCCAATTTATCACATGCCAAGGGGATCTCATAAACAAAAGTTTATGAGATCCCCTTGGCATGTGATAAACTGGACTTTCTAGGTTTCTCTAATTACCAAAGACATAATGAGGCAGTCCCACTCTTGCTGTTGTGTTTTGTAAAATTTATTCTCCAGTTAGGAGAACACAGCCGGGCAAGTTAGGCTTTGGGGAAATAGGGAACACATAAGTAGGAATTTTTCTTACTTGACATTCAAAACTGAACTCAGGACATAAAATCTTTCCCACCAAGGTTAGAAATTCACTTTGTGTGCACCAAACACATTTCCAAATCCAGGTATTACCTTGTAAAAATGGCAGTGGCATCATCACTGTGCTGTACATTACCTGTGCAGATAGCAGAGCAGTGGGAGGGACCCAAAAGTCTCCACCCAACCACAAGCTTCCTGCGGAAAATTACAGGAGGAGGCGGATACAAGATCAGTCATTCTGCAGAAGGAGAGAGAGCTGCAGTGACTGGTCTTTTTACAGGAAGCTCCATAGAGGGAAAGTTTTCACGCTATGTTACTGCACAGATCTGGAAGAAATACACAAAGCATACTAAGACTTAACTTAGAATAAAACATGACTCTTGTATTTATTTTAGTATTTGCTTTATTCAGAGTTCAGCTTTATTAACCAGTAGATGGTTCAGTTCACTAGTAACCTAAAATCAATTTAGTCACTGTTCACTGGTCACTGTTTTTGCCAAAGAGCACATTGACTGGCCTAAAGAGAAATGGCGCAACATTTTGTGGACTGATGAAAGTAAGATTGCTCTTTTTGGGTCTAGTGGTCGGAGACAGTTTGTCAGACGACCCCCAAACACTAAATTCAAGCCACAGTACACTGTGAAGACAGTGAAGCATGGTTGCGCAAGCATCATGATATGGGGATGTTTCTCATACTACGGTGTTGGGCCTATTTATCGCATACCAGGGATTATGGATTAGTCTGAATACATCAGAATACTTGAAGAGGTCATGCTGAGGAGGAAATGCCCTTGAAATGGGTGTTCCAACAAGACAACGACCCCAAACACACTAGTAAACGTGCAACATCTTGGTTCCAGACCAACAAGACTGACGTTATGGAGTGGCCAGCCCAATCCCCGGATCTTAATCCAATAGAAAACTTGTGGGGTGACATCAAAAATGCAGTTTCTGAGGCAAAACCAAGAAATAGAGAAGAACTGTGGAATGTAGTCCAATCATCCTGGGCTGGAATACCTGTTCACAGGTGCCAGAAGTTGGTTGACTCCATGCAACACAGATGTACAGCAGTTCTCAGAAACAGTGCTTATACAACTAAATATTCATTAAGTGATTCAAAGGAAAGCAAAATCTTCAAACATTTTTCAGTTTATATAGTGAATGTTTGAGTTTGTAAAGAAGAATACAAACACTGCTATTTTTTTGAACAGTCTAATATTCACTTTTCTTCAATTTTTTTAGAGAAACAACACAAAGTTGATATATTTTTCTTCATGTTTTGATTTGGAATAGAATGCGTAGTGTTCCCAATGCATTTGTGTGTATGGAAATAAAAGCTATTAGAAGGATTTTCAGCTTTATTCACTTTTTTCAACACACTGCTATTATTGTAGTGTGTGTGTGTGTGTGTGTGTTGTGTGTGTGTGTGTGGTTTTATTTTTATTTTATTTATTTTTTAATAATACTGGGGCTTATTTCTAACACTGCCTGTAACTATAGCTATAACTGCTGGGCTTTTTTTTTTTTTTTTAGGACATATATGTGATAGACGAGCGCTTTCATTACTATTTACGGACCTGGCTAAACTGTATGCTGGATGTGCTGGGGACTATACTGGTCATTGTGTGTGCCACTCCCCTGTTCTTAGTGGCCATTGTTCCCCTGGGATTTTTATACCTGCTCATCCAGGTAAGTATTTATTTGTCATTGTGTAAAAATGAGGTGAGCTGGAGTATTGTGTTTTTTTTTTTTTTTTTTTTTAATTAAAGATAACTTGCATTGTAGCAACAAACCCAATGTGATCCACAAGCTAATGGACCTCTTTAACAAGAAGTCCCCCTTTACTTTGCCCAACCTCTATAACTCTAAAAGGGATTTAGTTCTCTAATATCAAAGACAGAGAGAAATGGGGGCATGGGTCATAATTCATTATTAACTGGCAGATCACAGACCACACACAACAGATTCTAAAATTTTCTTCAAGAATCTCTGCCTCCTCCCAGATGACCATATTGAACCACCAGTTTTTTGTTCTACATTATGAATATCCATTTGATTTTGTAAAGACTGCAGGAGGTTCTGTTCTAAAGTCATTCAGAGATATATGAAACCAGCTTTCCAGTAGCCATAACATACAGGTTTTGTTTGATGTTTTCCTTTAAAGCTAGTTTAGTTACATTTTTAACAGACAGACAGTACTTATATCCAATGAAAAGTTTTCCTTGTGCTGCTGGCTTCTCTTAGTTGAAATCCTAAGTCCTTTGCCCTCACCCCCATACCCTCGTAGTCGTAATTTTCCAGTGCTTCAGAGGACTTCAGATTTTATCTAGTAGAGCAGTCAGTAGTACAAGGTACACTTCTCATTAAATGTGAGTACCATTCAGTTCCTTGTGCTGAATTAAAAAAAAAAATTAGGCTTTAATATTTTTTTTAATTTACAGATTGGATAGTTCACTGCTGATATTTGCTCTCTCTTGTGAACAGAGGTATTACATTGCCAGCTCACGACAAATCCGCAGACTTGATGGGGCTTCTCGTTCTCCGGTCATCTCACACTTCAGCGAGACGTTGTCTGGGGCCTCAACAATCAGAGCCTATGGACATCAGGATAGGTTCACTGGACAGAATAAGGATGTGGTGAATGAAAATTTGGTCTGCTACTACAATAATGTGATTTCTAACAGGTACTAGTGTACAGAGCAGCATGATATACATTAATTTTCACTTTCATGACTACTTAGACCTTTTTGCCTGGCATGGCGTATACCAGAAACACACCTAAGAGGCTTTAGAAGTGTTCAATCCAAGTATATGTCTAGCCAAGACCTTCTCTTTTTTATTTTTTTTTTTTTCATTTTGGATAGATTTGGAGGATTAGTACCCCTGTCACTGTTGTCAGGAAGATGTGAAGTAATGGAAAATCACTCAAATGATGCTGACAGGAGTTCTTCAATTTCCTTACTAGTTTTTGGCTTGGTATACATTTTATAGGAGATTAAGCATGAGAAAAATATCGGGCTGCCTTCATTGATTTCTTCTGAAAATGCTAGTTGCTGGGCTGGCATTCTAATCAGTTAGCTTTATCACTGATTTATTGACCCAGATTATGTGTACAGATTCCAGGGCAGTTATGCAGAAAGGTTTGTTTGCCATTCACAGCTCCCATATTTGTTCTTCAGCTTTTTTGTAAGGCCGCCCAAAATCCAAAGACCAACACTTAACATATTGCAGCTTACCAATCCTTTGTTTTCACATGGTGATCCAGCCAGTTACATACTTTCTGTCTTAGGATGTCTCCACTTTGGATGGTGGAGCATTGTAGCCACCCTTGGACAGCAGCATTGCTAACCTGGGGAGGGGGTAGTGTTAGATATACTAGCAGATTTGTATGGACTTGGCTAACAAATTCACTGCTTCGCTTCCTTGGCCCATATATGTTGGATTTGAAGTGGGGAAATAAGCTCATACAAGTGCCCAATTACTTTTACAGTAATGAGAAGAGCTGGCCCCTTCCCCGATCTCCTCTGTTACTAACAAACCTGGAAGCAATAAGGATTTCCAGCTGGGGAAGCAGGTAATCAAACACGATCTGTTCTTGATTACCTGTAGTTTAATGCAGAGGAAACACTGGGAGTCTAATAGACCCCTGATGTCTCCATAAAGAGTATCTGTCACCTGCCCATGCTATCACATAGTGGGCTTATTAGCCCCTTTGTGATAATAATAAAGTTAAAATGAAAAAAATTGTAAAACAAATTAAATTTTAATTTAAAAATGTTTTAAAAACATCCCTGCCCCTCCCTCCCATATATATGCGAATGAAAATGCGTGTAGGTCCCACACATTTATGTAAACAGCGATTGCACCACACATGTGAAGTATTACCACGAGGTTGAGATCTACCTGGACATGTACATGGAAATCAAAGTTGGTGACTTCTGCCCGGCTTCAGATTACCCCCCCCCCCCCTTCTCCACAGTGGTGTCCTCGGCCCTTTTTTTACATCATCCCCCCCTGTAATGTACTCTGCCCCTCCTCCCCATAGTGTTCTCTGCCCCCCCCACACTGTCATTATTGTCCTCTGCCCCCCCCCCCCCACACACACAGTAGTGTCCTTGCCCCCCCCCATAGCAATATCCTTTGCCTCCCCATAGTAGTGTCCCATGCCCCCTCCCCACACTGTAGTGCCTTTGGGGCCCCCCATAGCAGTGCTCTCTGCACCCCCCCAAAGAAGTGTTCTCTGTCTCCCACAAGTAGTGACATTTGCCCCCTTTACAACACACAGCTGTATGTAGGTACATCTCCTCTACTATACACCAGCTGTACATCAGAGTGGAACGAGAGGCAACACAGTGCTGGTTGGAGGGCAGCAGTGGGAGCTGCCAGAGTAAACATTTCATGTTAACAAGCTGGTGATTGGTTACTAAGACCACCTAGCAACCAATCACCTGCTTGTTAACTTGCAAAGTTAACTAAAGCAGCTTCCCTGCCCTCCATCCAGCACTATTTTGCCTCTCACTCCGCTCTGCTACTAAAGGAAGAGCGGCAGAGACTGGGGGGAAGCATTGGCACGGCCCTGATTATGGTCTACCTGTTGGCCTCCCGTGATCGACAGGTAGATCTCAATCAACAGGTTGATGACCCCAGCTCTAAACTATTGTCTATGAAAAATTTCAGGTCCCATAGTTTGTTGCCATTTCACAGGCCTGCACAATTATGCATCCCAACATGTTTGGTTTCTGTTTATGCTACGCAACCCCAGCTTTTATATCTTCCAAAAAAATGGGTATTATATTGTTTACAGTGTTTATTATCTGTGTAAACTAAAATTAATTTTAGTGTATTGAAAAATATCTTTTTGATAAACAGCTGCGCAAATAACATGCAAAGTATTAAAAATACGATGGCCGCCATTTTATTTACCAGGGCTCCTGCTTTTAGAAACTATACAAAGTTTGGAGGTTCTAAGTAATTTTGTTGCAAAAATTTTTTTTTTTTTTTTTTTTTTTTTTTTTAAGTGGTTAAAGCCAAACTCCAAGTGTATAATTTATAAGCAGTTTCAGAAACCGTTTCTTTTCCTTTTAGGACAAAGGTTTAAGATTACTGAATAAAAGCTGACCATTTTCAGCACCCTTGTCAGGGTTAAATGGTTTGCCTCAACCCTCTAACTGCTACTTTTGTTGTTGAAAAAAAATACCAGAGCTACTAGATAGATCACCAGATAAGAGTAAAAAAAAAATTAAATCAGCCATCATATCTAAGGATTTGTATGTTTCAATATAACAAATTATTGTTTTTCTCTTTAGTATCACTTTAAGGTTTCCCACAGACTCCGTACACAATAATCTTTTTGTACATTTAGTTATGTTGACAGTCACACTTTTCTCTGCTAAAAATATGTTTCCTTTAAAAAAAAAAAAAAAAAAAAACATTTGACATCGTCAGTTAATTTCACAGTGATGCTTCCAAGCAAGCATTCATTTATTATAAGATGGAAAAAAGATCAGCTGACAGAACCTTTTTAGGTCTAAAGATCTTTTTTTCTGGTGACTCTTTTGTTTTTTTATTATTAAACAGGACTTCTATAGCGCCAACAGTTTGCGCTGTGCTTTACAAAATGAAGGTAGACATTACAGTTACAATACAATTTGGTACAAGAGGAAACAGAGGCCCTGCTTGTTAGAGCTTACAATCTAGGAGTTTTCTTGGATAAACTAACATTTGAATCAAAATCACTCCTCTCCTGAAATCTGCCATCTGCAGCTGGCCATAGACACTAGAGGATGGTCAAACATGCAGGCATGATTTGATCAGCCTAAATGGGCAAGTGTATACAAAAACAAAAATGATTGTACTGGGCGAAGAGCTATGAGCTGCATGCTGCACAAACCATCAGTACCAGCTTATAGGGGGAACACAATAACAACCAGACAAGATTTCTTAAAGTAGAAGTTCAGTCAAATGCTAACTATATTCAAACCTGCTCCCACCCTCACGTCTAAGCCTATTCTAGCTATCCTGTAAAGGAAAGATGTCTATACATACCTATTTTAACGTTGCTCTGGTCCGGTCACATGATCTCCCCAGCAGCCGACTTCCATGAAGAGGAGAGATTGCCAATAATGGCTGCAGAGTCTGGGCGGTGACGTCACCCATAGGCTTACTGTGGGACACCTGCTGTCAGCTGTCCCACCTCTACACTGAAGCCAGTGCTCGGGTTCAGTTCTGTGACCGGACCAGTGCACCATCAGCATAGGTAACTATAGACATCTGTCCTTTATAGGGTAGTTAGGATAGGTTTAGAATGGGGGTGGCAGCAGGTTTAGGTTTAGTTATGATTTGGCTGGGCTTCCACTTTAAACTTTCCAATGATTTTTGCACCAATTAACCTTGACAGCCGGTGTCTTTATGTAACCTATAGACATCAAGTGATCTGATGTCTTTGGACACCATTAGGCTCATTTGTAATGACCTGCTCTTCTCCTGCTCTGATGGGCCAGTGATCTCCAGAAGCTTTCCTGAGGGGGGAAAAAAGGTGATAACCAACTATAGTCCATGGAAGCTCAGCAAATGAACACTGTCAAGTCCTGGCATTATAAATGTCAGGCCAATGTGCTCCCTACAATGCTTCTCAGTGAGACCTCTCTCTATCTATAGGTAACCTTTGTTTCTTTACATTGATGTTAACAACATTTAGTTTGTTTCATCTGTCAAACCAACAAAGTATAGTGTGTGGTCAACATTGATCAGGGTTTATTTTAAATGTATTTCTACCTTTAAGTGGAAGTTCAGCCAAAACCTTCAGAATAGGTAAGTATAGCAATCTTTTCTTTACAGGGTTAGATAGATTAGGCTTAGAATGGGTTTATTGTTAGGTTTTGGCTGAACATCCACTTTAACAATGCCATGAATGGATCTCTTACCTGAGACTGTGGTCTTTTCGTTGATCAATAGATGGCTTGCGGTGAGATTGGAATTTCTGGGAAACCTGATGGTTTTCTTTGCTGCAGTGTTTGCCATTCAAGCTGGTGATAAAATGACTTCTGGCATAGTGGGACTGTCAATCACCTATGCCCTAAATGTAAGTATATACAGTACATGTGTGAAATATATTATAGCCTGGAAACTGAGGGTTGGCTCACACCTATGCAGTTTTCTTTTCATCCATTTTTTCAATGCTTTTTGCATTTCGCTTTGCATTTTTACACACGTTTTTATCACGTTTTGCTTTTTTCAAAATTTTTTGCTTGTTCTTTTGTTAAAGGGGAAACATTTTTGTTGCTGGGTAGAATAACAATGCAAAACGCTACAAAAACACGGCAAAAATGTACTGCGTGCATTTCATCAGCATCTCTGTTGAACTCTATTGTTGCAAAAATACTGCTTTTTGCGTTTAAAAAAGTCTCTGACCCTTTCCAAAAATGCAGATGCTCAAAAAAGCGTAGATGTGAATGTGTCCCCTAGAAAGTCATGTTAAATGGACTGTAGTGCATTTCTGCAAAAAGTGCTAAAAAATGCAGGTGCCAATCAACTCTAAAAGAGCAAGATCCAACCAATCTCCAGAATTTCTGTCATCCATACTGAACTTTCAGTGAAGGTGAACTTTCAGTGTGGCCTCATTACTGCACCCCTATACTACTTCCCTCACTCTATTTCCCTATATGATGATAGGGAATCATCCTCCGCTTTGAAGCTATGCTCCCGTTGTAGTGCTGGAATTAGAAGGAGCTATAATGGCTCTGGATCCATCATGGAAGACACACAGCCGCTCTCTGATAACAATCTGAACATCAACAACTTTTTTTCCACAAAGCCAAAATGACCAGCCTCTGGACCACCCACTCTGATGCGTTCCACCCACACAGGCTTAGTTGTAGAGGAGAATATGATGTCTGAGACAGACTGGTTTAGGAATACTAAGCAAACGTGTTACACATAGGAGAGGTTTCTGAGAGCAGCAACATCCTGATATCATAGGTAAAAAATAGAAAAGGAGCAAGGTGGACTTTTAAGGTGCCATATTACAACAATCGAAATTAAAGCTACATTTTTTACTGACCTATATGAAACAATTGAAAAACATTATTAAAGGCCAGACCATGTACTCTCAATGTTTAATGCAAAGCCTTAATATGGGCACCAATTTGAGGGAGGCTTTGTATTTGTAGTGTATACTGTCTGGCTTTTAATAATGTTTTTTAATTGTTTCATATAGGTCAGTAAAAAATGTAGCTTTAATTACGATTGTTGTAATATGGCACCTTAAAGGTCCACCAAGTTGCTGTTTCACTTAACAATGAGTTAGTTTCCATTTTTATTTTCTCAAGGACATGGTTGGTTGATGGGGATGGCTGCATTTTTTGTTTTTCTTATCATCTTGTTTAAAGCGGAATTACACTGTATGTATCTGAGCACCACAAACCAAAAGCGTTCTATAATTCATTTATAGCAAACTCCCCCATCCATCCAAGTCTCTATGCTTTATTTTGCTGAGAGATAACTTACAAAAACACCACCTTGCATTTCTGGCTGTGGCCTTTTTGAGTAAGGGGAGATGATTCATGTAGCACTTACTTTCTGGAATCCATCTGTCCTTAACTCAGGCATGCAGGCAGGAATGTGTGCTTAGCTAAAAAAGCCCCTCCCCAACCCCCCCTTCCGAAGACTCGTGGGATATATGACATCATTTGCCTAGGCATGGAAACAAGGAAGTAACTGAAGAAATGTAAAAAAACTGTTTAAAACAAGTAAATATAATATATTTACCTATCTATTTACTTCAAAAGGATTCAATATAGGCAATGTTGATTGAGAGAGTGAAATTCTGCTTTGATGCTAAAATGCTCATCTACCTCAGAAAGCATTGTACTCATTTCCAGTGAAAATTCTCCAAATACAACCTTAATGGCAATGTATACTCTTGTCATTCATTTTGTTTTAGATATACATTTTTTAATGCATGTTAATGTTTTCAAAAATCTTGTTTCCACATATAGTTTGTCATTTGTTTATACAAATAAGGCTCAGCTTCCTCATTTGCACAGTTGCAGATTGGTGCATCTTTGTGGTTCACAAATCCATTTCTTGGCCAACTCATTGAAAACAATGCATTCCCTATGTGAATAATATCTTATATCAATCGATAGATAGTAAATAGAAGGAAGACAGAGTAGTGTTAATCTGCAAAATGGTATATTAAATTTAATAACTAATATGATAGAGCAAAGATGCAAAAATCACACAAAGAATCACTTTAAGATAAATGCTGTAGTAATGACTAATAATATGTACTCACTGATAATACATTATATTTTCTTTTTACCGTATGCCTTAATTTTCCTCCTTCTCTGCAGATCACACAGACATTAAACTTTTGGGTACGTAAAGCCTGTGAGATTGAGACAAATGGAGTAGCCATAGAACGAGTTTGTGAATATGAAGAAATGGAGAAAGAGGTACAGTGTTCTCTCCTCTGCTGCAAAGTAGAAGAGATAGGAATTCATGCAAATTTACTGAGTTCATTAGATATTTATGTTTGGTTCTAGGCCCCCTGGGTTATGGCTAAAAGACCACCCTTGGAATGGCCAGACAAAGGTGTGATTGAATTCACCAACTACCAGGCCAGATATCGGGAAGACTATGACTTGGCCCTCCGTGATGTCACCTTCCACCTGCGTACGACAGAGAAGGTGAGTAGAAGACCTTTTGTCAGGAATTGGTTTATTACTGGGGACATCTGCGCAGCAAAATGATACTATACCAGCTTTTGTCCACCTTTTCAACAGAAAGGAACCCTTGAAATAATTTTCTAGTCTCCGAGAACCCCTGCTAATATTTTCTATATCTACAGCTCGTGATACATTAGTGTGACGGTCAGTGGCAAGAATGCTCCTTACACTTGTGGTCATGGGGAAGAATTCCCACCTTACATATGGCTAAAAAGATCAGTGGTGTCAGTGGGAACTTATCTGAGAGGCAGAAATTGCTCGAGGAACCCCTATCAACCTATGGAGGAACCCTAAGGTTCCATGGAACCCTGGTTGAGAATCCTTGTGCTAGAATATAAGGTGAATATACGATTAGTGGTTAGTTAGTCATGCTTAGAGATAAGCAAAACTGTACTGGACACCACGGCGGTAGGTTCAGGCCTCAAAATGGTCCTGTCTTTAGCAAGCAACACTCACAAGAAGGAATAGTGCTAGCCAACTATGAATCTTTTAGGGCAATTTTGAGTTGTAATCCTGAGCCCCTTCCATTTCTATTAAGTTTCATTTCAGTGGCATAATCTGACACACTCTGGTGAAGTATATGAGCCTAGACTTCAACCCCATAGCTCCTTCTTAGGTCCTAACATCTTTAAACCCTATGCCCCCCAACCCCCTGCAACTACCATTCTTACTCTATTATTATTAATATTATACAGGATTTTATATAGCGCCAACAGTTTGCGCAGCGCTTTCCAATATAAGGGAGACAGTACAATTACAATACATTTCAGTACAGAAGGAATAGGAGGGCCCTGCTCATGGAGCTTACAATCTAAGGGAAGGGGGAGGTGATACAAAAGGTGATAGCTGCGGGGAATGATCTGGCGGAGGTGATTCAAGTACAGTTCTTAGGTGGAGGTGGGGTAGGCTTCCCTGAATAAGTGAGTTTTCAAAGATCGCCTAAAGGCAGACAGGGTGGGGGGGGCTGACCGGACATGCTGTGGTAGGGAGTTCCAGAGGATGGGAGAGGCTCTGGAGAAGTCCTGGAGGCGAGCATGGGAGGAGGTGATGAGGGAGCTAGAGAGGAGGATATCATGGGAGAAGAGGAGTGGGCGATTTGGGCGGTATCTGTGGATGAGGTTGGTGATGTAGCTAGGGGCAGATAGCTTTGTAAGCTGTGGTTAGTATTTTGAATTTTATACGTTGGGTTAGTGGAAGCCAGTGGAGGGATTGGCAGAGAGGGGCAGCAGTCGCTGATCATTTGGTAAGGTGTATGAGTCTAGCAGCAGCATTCATAATAGACTGAAGGGGGGATATACTGTGTAAAGGTAGACCAGTTAGGAGGGAGTTGCAGTAAACAAGGCGGGATATAACCAAGGCGTGGATAAGTTGTTTTGTGGTGTCATTGGTCAGGAAGGGACGGATTTTGGAAATGTTCCAGAGGTTGAGGCAGCAGGATTTAGCCAGTAAGTAGATGTGGGGCCCAAAGGAGAGGTCAGAGTCTAGGATTACGCCTAGCACCCTGGCATGAGGGGAAGGACCAATGGTTGTGCTGTTGATCTTAATGGTAAAGTCATGAGTGGAGGATCGGGGAGGAGGAAATATTACAAGCTCAGTTTTTTGAAAGATTGAGTTTAAGGTAGTGATGTCTACTAAGTGACATGCTGATATGTCACTTAGTAGATTTGTGATACGTATGTAACCACAGTACCTAATGCCTCCATGCAATTCTTATGGACCTTCCACATTGCACAGTATGTCTCCTTTCTGCTAAAGCTCACCATAGACATTACAATCTCTTTAAGATCTACCAACAACGATGTAGTTTAAAGGCCTGCCTGACTGGATACAAATTGATTGGATAGTTTAGGTAGGTACTTTTATTACATAATTTTGATAAACATCCACTCAGCTCCAGTGATGTACCGATATGTCGCTGGACTTCAGGTGGGTTATACCAGGATGATGCCCGCAGCTGCAGGCATCATCCTGGTAGCGTTTTTTTTAGAGCCGATGGTTGGCTCTCTTGTAAAAGCAATTCTTTACAAACAGCGGCTTCATCAGGCTGTCCTGTCCTACTGGGACACCTAATCAACCAGCCCAGCAGAAGCGCAAACAAAGACTGGAACTGCTTTGTTCATCTCTATGATATAGGGAATTAGAAGTGATGACCTTACATCACTTCTGGTTCCGCTGGATGTAAGCGACGCTTTTTTTAAAAATGAAAAGCATTTGATCACACCTATGTTTACATTCCTTGTGACAGCAACAAAAGTGATGACATTTTTTTTAAAGCAACAGTGTAAAAATGATTAAAAATAAATATATAAAACCATGTAAAGTGTCCCCACCCCCCATGCTCACACACAAGAGTGAATGCACGCATCGGTCACGCACACATGTGAGGTACTACTCATGATCTGACGTTCATGGTGATAATTCTAGCACCAGACCCCCTCTGTAAATCTAAAGTGGTAACCCGTAAAGGCTTTTAAAGCATCACCTATGGATAGTAAAATGTACATTGTTTGTCATCATTGCAGAGGCATGCGCAATTTTAAAGTATGACATGTTTGGAATCTATTTACTAGACATAACATTGTATTTTATATTTTACCAAAAATTGGGTTATGTGTTGTGTTTTTTGCATTAAAATTTTAAAAAGTGTATTTTTTCCAAAAAAACTCTGTTTGAATAACCACTGCGCAAATACCGCGTGACATAAACAATTGCAACACCCACCAATTTATTCTCGAAGTCCCCTGCTTTAAAAAAAATATAATGTGTGGGGTTCTAAGAAATTTTCTAGCAAAAAATACTGATTGGTAATTAAAAAAGTGCCCAAAAAGACTTGGTCTTCAAGTGGATACAAAGGAGAATGCACAGAGATTGTACAGTTAGGTTGTAATGTCTATAGTGAGTTTAACAGGGGCAATGTAGCCACACACCTGATGAAGGTAACGAGAGGGCTTTTGGATATGACTAGGTGCTGTCTATGGGCTCTCCAGTTTCATATGGAGTCATATGGAATGCTCTTGCTATTGCATCCTTTATGAATGTGCAAGTTCATCTACCTTACTGTCGGGATTTTCAATGCCATTGTAACATTAGAGATTGTTAAACGTATTTTCTTTTTCAGCTTGGCATTGTTGGGAGAACAGGAGCTGGGAAATCTACACTCACAAACTGCTTATTCCGTGTTGTGGAGAGGGCAGGAGGCAAGATTGTGGTGGATGGGATTGACATAGCTACCATCGGTCTCCATGATTTACGGAGCAAACTTAATATCATCCCACAGGTGAGTCAATGATAAAGAGATGGATGTGATCATGTATTCAACAGACAATTGCCACAAGAAAAGAAAAGAATAATAAACCGTATAGAGACCAATTGGATTTTGGTTTTCCATTTGAACCCGTTCACACCACATGCAGTGCAATGCTTTTTTTTTCTGCAACAAAAAAGCATGGAAAGTAGGTTATATTGGTTCCAATGGCATAGTTCACACCAGCGTAGTGCGTTCCAGTGCTTTTCAGTTTTAGAAAAAATATACAAGTTTCTTTTTTCCTGCACAGGACTGTACTAGAACGCAGTAAAAATCATCAAAAAAGTATCAAAATAGCCCCGGTCCCTAGTGCAGTAAAAAAGAAAAAAAAAAGAAAAGCATTGTCTTGATGAAAATAAAGATTTTTCAATTGAAATGACCAAAAAGGGAGCACAAAAAAAGCATCTGGAGTGCATATTGAAATGCATAAAAAAACCGCTCGGAATGCATAAATAAAGCGTTAAAAAAGCGCATGCAGAAACGGATCGGGAACGGATGAGGAGGACGATTTTTGTGGTGTGAACTGGCTCTCGCTGACATAAAAACAATTTGGATTGCTGTTAGTTGCTGTTTAACATTTTTCTACATTGGTTTGTAAAAATTATCCCTTTACTTAAATCCTGCCTTTTATCCCCATGATTCTAGAATATAGGGAATAGTAATCTCTGGGAGAGAGGGGGGATCATGACTGCTTTTTACTACAGATCAGTGGACCATTCTTCTCAAAACTTTTATTTTCAGTTTTGCATGGTGTTAGAAGTGTTTGAATCTTTGTCAGGTTTTTTCTTTTTTTGTCCCCTGCTGGTGAGATTATTTGTCCAGAAAGTGAAAGGTCGAACATTTGATATTTGTCACTAGTACAAGAAGTGAGGGGAAACAAAACTGACAGGGATAGATTTTAGCCATTTCTTATTCTTTCTTGAACTAAAAAGAAAAGTTTGGGCTTTAAGTAGACTTTGGAAGACATGCCTTTCCATCGTAACACTTTCTTTGTTTTCATTACATAGTTTATTTTAGACCCACTGATGTCAGCAGTGGGTCCTTGTGCCTCTATATGTAATGCAGGCAGATCATGGATGGGTCCTTGTGCTTCTCTATGTAAGGCAGGCAGATCATGGCTGGTGGGAGGGGCCCTGATAGTGCTGTATATTACTTCCTAAAAACATTAAAGCGCCCTGCCTCGATAATCTCTTCAGGAGTCCTCAGCATTGATGTAAGCAGTGAGCAGGCTTGTATGCAATCTCAAAATCTCTTGATGGGTGGACATCAGTCTGGATGAGCGGGGGGTGTTCCTAGACAGATTGCATTTGCATGCACACTGTCCTAAATGCAAATGAGGCAGCCTCTAGCTGACTTACTGCTGCTTCTAATGCACATTGTGGGAAGCTCACAGTATGCAGTGAAATCAGAGTTAGTCATTTCAGTACAGGAGAGGAGTCCATGCAACTGTGAAATAATATAGTTAAGGCTGGAGTTAAACTTTTTAAAAGATAGTAACCAACCTATAAACACACTGTGACCCCCTTCTGTCAAAACACTGGCCATGTGCACATACTAACATTTCAGAAAAAAAAAAAAAACACATTGAGAAATCCTGTTAGTGGCTTTGATTTCATGACCCAGGACAAGAGTACATTACCAGGAGATCTCACACCATTGACCTGCTTGTTCTGGTTAGAAAGTATTGAAGGCTGGGACAGCCAGGCAGCAGGCATTTTCAGGAGTTCAGCAGCATGGCAGCACCCATACTTCTTTCAATACAAGTTTCTTGTAAACAGGACTGTGGGATCAGATCTGGTGAACTGCCTGTGCAGCAAATGTCCCCATAGCATTTATTGAATAATTCAACAATAATCTTTTCTTGGAACAAGTTCAAACGTCCCCTTTAGGCCACACCTACTCCTTTTTAATATGCAGAGTGTGGTTTAGGATTCTGTCTGTACTTTTCTGTCTTATTATGATTTTGATTATGGGATATAATTGTATGAGTGATGTTTGCTTCCAGGATCCAGTTTTATTCTCAGGAACGCTTCGGATGAACCTGGATCCCTTAGACAAACATTCGGATGTGGAGCTCTGGAATGCTCTGGACATGTGTCATCTGAAGGACTTTGTGCAATCACTTCCCATGAAACTCTACCATGACATTTCTGAGGGGGGAGAGAACCTCAGGTAAGCATTGTGATCTGCATGGGGCAGTATAGGGTACCCAGAGCATTGCTGCATTGGCTTTCTTTGCTAGTATGAAAAAAAAAAACCCTGAAATAAAACCCCACTGAGCACTGGGCCCTTGTGCCTCTATATGTAATGCAGGCAGATCATGGATGGGTCCTTGTGCTTCTCTATGTAAGGCAGGCAGATCATGGATGGTGGGAGGGGCCCTGATAGTGCTGTATATTACTTCCTAAAAACATTATAGCGCCCTGCCTCGATAATCTCTTTAGGAGTCCTCAGCATTGATGTAAGCAGTGAGGGATTTTTTTTCAGCAGGAACGTGGGGGAACACAATTCTGGCACCTCCAGCGCTGAATGTATGCAGTGGCAAGGGATGATGGGTTGTGCTGGATGGTCTATTGATGCTGGCTGCTGAGAGATCTACTGTCGCTGGAGGGGATCTATTTTTGCACGGGGGGGTCTATTGTTACTGGAAGGGGGTCTTATGTTGCTGGGAGGAATCTACTGTTGAAGGAGAGATCTATTGATGCTGGCCACTGATAAATCTATTGTTGCTGCTGGCGGTCTATTGTTGCTGGGGAGGTATTTTGTTGCGGGGGGTAAGGGGTCCATTGTTTCTGGTTGGGTCTATTGTTGTGGAGGGTAACTATTGATCAATGGATTTATTTAGCACCACAGAATACTTGGTTCTGTTTTCCATAAAAGGGGCGTTAGGGGGTGGAACCAAGGGATGGTGCTCGGAGGTGGGTAGGGGGTGGAGACAAGGGGTGAGTCAGAAGGGGAGAGTTCCCCCCACCTATTCTCCGAGAACAAAAGCCCTGGTATGAGCCCTTCGCCAGTTCAAATTTCTGAATAACTACTGCACATGAGTGCTTTCCTTCAGAGAACTTCCTACTCTAATGAAATGGAAGATCATAATGAAATAATGTGTTGAACAATTTCACCTACTGTAAGCACTGTGTGGCAAAGAACTTTTTATGCTTATGGAATATGAACATCCATTGTGAACTGTTTCCTCATTAAAGTGAAAAATCTCCCCATTGAGTAGAAGGCAATGAAGGATAAAACCGCTCCAAGCGACCATATCCTCTGCCTTGTCTCTGGTATCTCAGGCACTTGCCTACAAGTGCACCCTCACTCCATGCACTATGTACCAAGAGACCAATGGGCCACACACCAATGTCACTGAATTAGCATCAACTTTTTAGTGGTCAAACAGACATGCTGCTAAACATCCCAACTTGAGGGCAGTCTCAATGCGAGATGTTGGCAGCATGTCTGTTTGACCTCAAAAAAAGTGTTACCATTTTATAGTCGTAATAGCAAGCTGAGGTGTGGTTTGGCCCAGTGGCCTTGACCAAGTTGTGCAGCTAAAGTGGAGGTCAAGGTGTCTGGCAAGGGGGCTTAGTTTATTAAGTCCTATTGGAAGGTCAAACAGTTCCTGTAAATGTGGTTTGAATGTGTATGTATTCTCATGCTTGGAGATTAGCTGAAAATTATAATGTTTGTATTGCAGCGTTGGACAGAGACAGCTGATCTGTCTTGCTCGAGCCTTACTCAGGAAAACAAAGATTCTGGTTCTAGATGAAGCAACAGCCTCTATTGACATGGAAACAGATAATCTGGTTCAGAGCACCATTCGCAGTGCGTTCATTGATTGCACTGTACTGACCATAGCGCACAGATTGCACACCGTGTTGGACAGTGAAAGGTAAAAGTCTTTTATTGGATGGGAACTCCACAACACAGCTCTTGTCTGTGCAGCCTCTGCTGGAATGTGTTGCCAATAAGTTGATTAAAGTCTGTGTGGCCCACCGCAACCAGTTATATTCCAGCTATCAATATCTACTCCAGTTTGGAAAACAAAGCCACACATCTGATAATTATGATGTATAATAAAGGATAGTGAGCGCTCCTAGAACAGCTGCTAAAACACCAAAAAGGTACCAATAAAAAACCTTCAATATAAATAACAAGATAGAGGTGTAGCGCTAAAAGATAAATAATGATATAAAATATATAGTAATCAATAAAACTCATGTGCAAATGATACAAAGAATGTCCACATGTGAAGTTCACATATAAATAATTAAATGCTTATAAATCTCAGGATAAACTCCGCAGCAGATTGACTTGTGACTCCAACCAATAGTTAAAGTGCGCACTCACCAGAAGCGCATGGATATTGCGCATATAATATAAACACTCAAGGTAAGCAGGATATTCAGGTGAACTTTTCCTCTATGGTGCAGTCATCAAGTCATTGGGAATAGTAAAAAAATCTGCTGGATCCAGAGGTCCCCTTATGGATGGATTAGGTGCTCAGCCTGAGTACAGGGATCCTTTTTCTCTGGTCATACTTGTATCTCTGGGGTAACCTGTAGGCTTAATAGCTCCATGAAGGAGCCACAAAACAGGTGCCCATAGTGTAGTATGTTCAATTAACTTTTATTAAAGTATCAGTAAATACAGCAGGGTATATTAACATGCATATATAGATTACTAACCCTCAGTTAAAATGGCCGCCGGGCTTCCTCCTAGCTCCAGGCGGCGGTGATGTCACGTGCCGTCTGGTTCCTATTGAGGCCTTTCGTGCAATGGCACTTCATCAGAGGGAGAACCTCAGAGATACAAGTATGACCAGAGGAAAAGGAGCCCTGTACTCAGGCTGAGCACCTAATCCATCCTTATGGGGACCTCTGGATCCAGCAGATTTCTTTACTATTCCCAACAACTTGATGACTGCCCCATAGAGGAAAAGTTCACCTGAATATCCTGCTTACCTTGAGTGTTTATATTATATGCGCAATATCCATGCGCTTCCGGTGAGTGCGCACTTTAACTATTGGTTGGAGTCACAAGTCAATCTGCTGCGGAGTTTATCCTGAGATTTATAAGCATTTAATTATTTATATGTGGACTTCACATGTGGACATTCTTTGTATCATTTGCACATGAGTTTTATTGATTACTATATATGTTATGTCATTATTTATCTTTTAGCGCTACACCTCTATCTTGTTATCTGATAATTATGGTCAGCCTTAGCTTATTTCTTTGCTTTAGTTTTTATAGATGAGCCCAAATGTTGCCAATAGAAAAGGCAGAAGTAGACCTCTGTCAAATAACAACATTTAGGATTTAAGAGATAAGTTCACCTTTAAAACATCTTACACCAGTATTTAGGGTGTAACATGTTCCAGGACCGTCCAACCCTCTTTTTTCCATTAAAGTTGAACTTAGCCTTTAGAGTAAAAATACTTTTCTGGGTCAAGTTCATTGTATATGCTATAGAACAGTTTTTATATGGTTTTACTATATTTATCAGGTATATTGTTTTGCTGATTTGTAAAGCATTTTACACAAGAGAAAGGATTCCCAGAGCACTATGGGCTACCTAAAGAGACAGCACTGCAGTGACTGCCTGCTTTTCTAACTGAAATTTTAGATTGCGTCCTCAGATAAGGAATGCGTCTCTTATGACCGCAATGTCTTTAAACAACAGTTTAGAAATTATAGCCATTGTCTACATTTTTAGTGCATGAAAACCAAAAAGGACTGGGCAGAGAAGCTGAATCTGCACTGGCTGGCTGTCTTCTGCACTCTGCAGGACTTGGCTGTCAAACTGACTGTAAAGCCCTTCAAGTTACTTTTTGGAGACTTAACACACCTCTTGTAATCAATAGGACTTCACTGCCAAATTGACAGCGGCCTGCTGAGCTCTATATATTTGGAATAGCTGTCAGTGTTTCTAATACATGGCTTCTGTCCTAGGGCAAACTGAGGGGCTGGGCTGCCTGTATCTCCCATTAGGTTCTGAGGTAGGATCCTCTCCTCTGGCCCCGGACAAGAGGCTCCAATTTGTTTTACTTCCATGTAAATATCAGACTTTACAGCAAAGTGAGAGCCTGGAAACCATTTAGAGGAGCATAAAGCTTAACATGCTGACTTAAAATATTAGATTAATATATATGCATTAATCAGTAATATTTTATGTGTAATAGACTAAAAATAGAAACATATTTTTTTTAAGCTATTTTGTTTGTCTTGATAGTATCTTTAATAGTATCTAATTTCCTGCAGGGTGCTTGTTCTGGAAACAGGCAGAGTTGTGGAGTTTGATGAGCCCCAACGACTGATACAGAAGAAAGGGGTCTTCTTCAATATGGTAGCAGAGGCTGGGATGCTCCAGAACACAGAGCAGTAAATGAGTTGTGGATGATTGCTGTTACAGAGTACATCATAAGAGATCTGAATGTTCCATGTCTTTTCCATCTGCTTCTTTTTCTGGTAAACAATGTAAGTGCCAGAACAATTAATTCCCTACCGGGCAAACTCGGTGCCTTCCTCCTATATGCATATCATTTTTATCACTCCTTTACATGTTTTATGTTGGTCTGCTTCCATGTCATTGTATAGTGTCATTAGGGCATCTTTTAAAGGTAAAGTGCAGCCTAGGTGATGGAGGACTTTAGTGGATTGAATCTGTCTTCCAAAATGGATCATTTGAACTACAGCTCATCAGAAAGCCAAGTGAGAGATCCCAATGAAACGTCAAGAAGGCAGAGCTAACATCTTGATGGGACGTCTCTCCTCTGTGCTTCTGAAGGTTTCTAACAGCCCAAAAGAATCCATCTTAAGAGGAGCAAAACACAAAACTAACCTATCAGCATGGTGTTTCAAGTCCCTAATTCCCAACCAACGATTCTGCTCCATCCTAGTTACCACATTTTTAAAAACCGTTACTTATAGAAACATAGGATCTGCCTTTGACAGCGTCTCCTTTTGAAAATGTCTTCTGAAAAGATTTAAAGCTAAACTCAACCCTTCAATACTTCTCTCCTCTCCAGCAATGCAACATTTATGAGCCCCCTTGCCAGCACCAACATTGTCTCTCTGGCCTCTTCCAGTTTTGGGGCCTTCGCCCATCTTGATTGGCTGGGTCAGGATGACATATCTCCTGTCATTGAGGTGTGCCAAGAATTTAAGAATGTAAGAACGCTAAGTGTATATTCTAAAGAAGGGGGTCTCAAAACTTTTCAAAGGGCCAGTTTACTATCCTTCAGACTTCTGGTAGGCTGGATGGTGGCCAGTGGGGGTAGAAACTGTCCTAGGCCCAGCATCAGTGAGAATAAACATGGCCTCAGGATTGGTGGTCAGTAGCAGGAGTAGTGCCCCATCATTGTTATTAGTGAGAGGAATAATACCCCATCATTGGTGTCAGGGCAGGAATTATGCCCCACTGTTTGTGTCAGTGGGAAGAATCGTGCCTCAAGTGCCAGATAAAGGCTAGAAAAGGGCCGCATCTAACCTTCGGGTGCAGTTAGGAGACAATTGTTCTAAAGCATCCTATAGGGAGGAAGGTAAGAAGCCTTTATTGCAGAAGAGGCTAAAGCTGGTCATACACTGGTAGAATTTTTTGTTTGAAAACTTTTACTCTATTCTCTTATTATTACTGGGGTCAAATCGCTGGTCATTTTCAACTATAGTGGCAAGAGATTTTAAAGAGCAGGATGGAAAACTTTTCTTGACTGGACTAGTTTCTAACTGTGAATGTGGTTTCATTCAGGAAAGTCCATTCACTCCAAAATTGAATGTGAAAAGGAAACTTTTTTTAAGTACTTGCAAATGATATTCATCATGTCATCAAATTCACTGAGTTGGAAAAAGGATCACCCCCCCCCCCCCCCCCCTTTCTAAAAATTACTGTCAGGTGTAGCTAATCACCTCAATGACACAAAAAGCCATCTGACTTTCATTTGTGATCAGCTGTGGTCTTTTTGATTAGGTCTGCATGAAAGAGCTTTCCTTGAGCATTTCAGTCCCTGATAGTGCAAGTGAAGCAAACAATCAACTATGTGTGGCAAGTCACTTTTAAAAAGATCACAGGGATAAACTTGTGGACAGGCACAAGTCAGGAGATGGGCACAAAAAAAGCATTCTTCTCACTGACCACCGATGTAAGGAGAGCATTCTTCTCACTGACCACCAATGTAAGGGGGGCATTCTTCTCACTTACTGCCAATGTAAAATAGAGCATTCTTCTCACTGACCACCAATGTAAGAGGAGCATTATTCTCACTGACCACCAATGTAAGAAAAGCATTCTTCTCACTGACCACCAATGTAAGAAAAGCATTCTCCTCACTGACCACCAATGTAAGGGGCATTGTTCTCACTGTCCACCAATGTAAGGTGAGCATTCTTCTCACTGGCAACCATTGTAAGGGGGCATTCTTCTTACTGAGAGTGATTTTTCCCTGCTGACCTCCAATAAATTGGTTTTAGAAGGGAAGGAAGAGGTGGCTGGGTGGAAGGAAGGGAGGGGTGGGTGGAAAGAAGGAAGGGAGGGGTGGATGGAAGGGAGGGGTGGAAGGAAAGAAAGGAGGGGTGGGTGGAAGGTAGGTTGGACTCGCGTGACTCATTCAGATGCATCAGAGCTGTCGGCTGCTGTGTTCAGTTTCCCCCTCACACCTCCTCTAAAGCTCCACTGACTGGAGTGTGGGCGGGCACAGGGGGAGGCAGAGCAGATCCAGACACTCTCCCCTCTTTTCCTATTGGTGCAAAGGATGGAGGGAGGGGCTTGGAATTGAGAAGAACACAGCGGAGGTGGGAGGGAGAGGGGACAGGGGGGTAGAAAGAAAACTGAGACGTCAGGTATGTTCTTTGCAGCGGTGGGGGCGGTGACAAGCAGCAATCTCCTGTATGACTTTCAATGAAGCAGCTGGAAGCCACATCTCCTTCTCTCCCTCCCACGGCCTCCAGTTGCTTTATTGAAAACCATACAGGAGATCGATCGCTGCTTGTCACTGCCTCCACCGCCACCCCTCCCACACACCCCTAGTCCCGGCACTGCTCGCTGCCCCCACCTTATTTCCACTTGCAGGTGATAGAAATTTCAAGGCCTGCAGGGATGGTTGGCAACTCTCCTCTGGGGGGTTCAGACCTCCCTGACTTCACCCTTATCTGCTGCAAGGGGCAGAGCGCACACTGTGATGTCATGTTTCTGTCATGACCGCCCTGCTCAGCGGCGGATCTGTCATTGCGGTCTGGCGGACTGGAAGGAAGCGCTGATGGGGCTGTTCTTGGACCGTGGTCCGCCATTTAGTGACCGCTGCTCTAGGGTTAAAAGACTGAGAAAGGCTGCCCTAGACAGTGGACTACATGCTGCTCCACTGAAATCTCCTCAGGTACCATTACAAAGAAATGCCATTCAGACAGTATCATGTGTTTTTATAATGAAAATGTGTTTCCTGTAACACTACCATTTTCTGTTGGATATAATATATAAAATCTCAGGTGATATTGATTTATTTGCAGTAATTATATTATTGAAAGATCATTGTTTGATCTCTGGTGAAAAAAAAACCCATAATAGTGGCCACACACATTTAGATTTTTTTTATCCAATCCATGTGTGATTTAATCAAATCAATTGAATCCACAAACAATCAAAGAGCCATAACTTTCCTTTTGATCAATTTAGACTCGAAGTTGATTTTTCATGGCCACGGCAAAAAATTGATAGCTTTGCAGCGATCGACACCACAGAGATACTTTTGCAATAAAACAATCATATTTTGATTGATCAGATTATAAGAATACTGTGGGGAAACAGAGATATAGTTGATAATTTACGATCATATTTTAGCAATCCATCAAAATCCACTTCCCCGTGTGTGGCATATTTCTCAAATGGGTTTTTATTGGAAGATATCAATCAGAAAAGAAACCCATCATTTATCAAAGTGTGTATGGCCACCATATGGGTAGTGTCTGGAAGGGAAGTATCATCATCTGTCATTTTAATAGATGACATCTGATTGGTTCTTGCCAAATGGCACAGAGCTGGGAATTCTGTTCCATAGAACTCGCCATGCAGGCACGTGACTGACCCAGTAGACATCTAACCAGAACTAAAATAGTACTGATGGGTGGGGCAAGCACATCATAGTATATTAAATACTATAAATAGTTGACACGATTTTGTTGCAAAACAATTTGCAGTATATGCTTGCCTCATTTGTAAATGTAATTTAAAAAATGTAGAATAAAATGTATTATAATACAGACAAAAGACTTTTCTACATTTGCTAGAAATTTCATATATAATTTTGCTAAATTAGAGTTCTGAACCTAAAACTTCATTAGGTTTATGTTGATCAATCCAGGGCACAATTCTGCATCAGACATTTCCTGTCCTCCATATGCTCAGTAAGGAGAAATCCTCCTATTCAGGGCCCTGCTGTGAAGCAAAATGATTGTTTTTCCTAGTAAATTCTAGCAATCTGTTGCTGGAGAGAAGATAGTGTGATGGTGGCCTAAGTTATACTTAGCTGAGTATTACATTTGTGTGTTGTGTTACGTCACATGTTATGGGGTATTGGGGTCAAGGCAACCCACTGAAATCCGTGTACTTCCCATGCACCACAATGTTGGACAACCACAAGTCTTTGCTGCAATGCACTATGCAACGGAGTTTATTGCAATGTGTGTGCTATTTAAAATGAATGGCATTGCAGTGTGTCAGGGCACAGAACATGCGTTGCAGCGATGCGGGCACTGCTGCAACACATACTGTAGATGGAAAATAAAAAAAATAAAAGTTATATATTAATTAAAAAAAAAAAAATGACATGCACTTTTAAATTCAGCTGGCTGATATCCTCCTGTAATCCCATGTATAGCAACACTGTCAGAAGTGCTGATATTGGAACATGCTGAAAGGAGGAGAGAGCGGAGCAATGATCTCATCAGTTTGCTGCATTCCCTATATTGTCCAATAAGCTGGCTGGGGGTGTGGCTTGACCAATGTTCTTAAACAAACTATGATGCTGCTGTGGTGGTCAAGGATTGTGCTATCTGCCAGAGATGTGTGGATCACAAAAGTGGTTTCACACAATTAGAATTCCTTTGGCAGATACAATAGTTACAAATAAAGGGGAATCCGAGCTCAGTCAGTCCAGTAGCTGCAGGTGTGCACTGTGAAGGGAGCAGGGCCTATGCATTGTAAATGACGCATCACACTGTTTACTTGTTTTTTCTCTTTTTTTTTTTTTCCAACTATATTGAAATGTCACAGAGTGACATTTCAATAATCTTTATTTACCGCTTTGGTGTGCTGCATCACAAAACGCTATGATACAAGAAGTAGTGCATGTTTGCTTTTTTCAATGCAGTGGTGTGCACTGAACTCCTAGGACTTGA